TCACCTGTTCTCAGCTGCATTTGAATAAAGCACCAAATCCACACTTTTAAGCTTAAATTTCAAAACTTGCATTTAACTACAGATTTTATCTGTTTTGATTTTATAAACTGTTTCGTTTGTTTGTTTGTTAATTAGTTAGTTTGTTTGCTTGTTTTAATCAATTTTAAATCATGCTTTTTATTTGTTTTTGTTTCTAATGTCTCTGTAAAGCACTTTGAATCACCTTGTTGTTGAATTGTGCTGTACAAATAAACTTGCCTTGCCTTGCCTTAAATAAGCTCAGGATGACTCATAGGTAAGGACGGGAATTAAGAACTGGTTCTTGTAGAGAAGTGGTTCCCAGTAGTCCAGCTGTATGGAATTGTTAGTCTGTTTGCTGATCGATCCTGCTTATGGAGTCTTGTGCTCGTGCATCCAGAAACAGCTCCATCATGCTGCTGACACAACTTCAGCTCTTTACATGCACCTGCACAGACAGCATGCTAACGCTAAGCCAGCCAAGAACCCGGAGTGATATGCTGCTTAGAGGTGTTTTTGAGCCCGAATCGATCACTAACATCTCACTGATTCCCATTCCTACTCACAGGTTGCGGATCTCTGATCTGGCCTCCTCCAGCAGACTGTGCCCATAGCGAGGCAGCAGGCCAGTCGGAGGTCGTCCTCCTCCCTCCAAACTCCTCGTACCTGCAGGAGATGAATTCACAGAGGGAAGATGGTAAAAGTTAAACAGAGAGAAAGAAAACACGCAGTTCGTGGAGTGTGATGGCAGAGAAGCTCTGGAGACGCCGCAGAACTCACTTTTAGGTCGTATTAAAGACGGAGACGACATGTCGTCTCTGAACTTCTTCAACCCCGTGTTGACTCGCGGCTGGATGCGGTCGTACGGCGTCGGCCTCTGGCTCTGACGATTGATGAGTTGATGCTTTGCCACCAGGAGGCGCTGTTTCAGCCCTTCGTTTTCGGCCTGCAGGGCCCGGACCTTCTCGTGGAGCTCCTCCATCATCTCCTCCATCTCCACGTCTCGGACCCTGGAGGATGGGGCTGTCCCTGCTGCCAGCTGCTCCATGCGGTCACGGTTGTTCATCAGCCTCTTCAGCTTTGTGCTCAGTCTGCAGAGAGACAGTTAAATTAAATGGTATATTGTTAGACACATTAAGGATTCTGGAACTTTTTGTGTGGAAAAATATTATTGAGGAAATAAACGTGTTCTCTTTAAAGACGTGCTTTTGTTCAGTGATAAAAACGCCCCGGGCACATGGGAGAAGCCTCACCTCTTGATTAGATCATCCCGTTTGTGGCTGTGCTGTTTGAGCTGCAGCGTCTCCTCCTGCAGCCGCAGGAAGCGGTCCTCCAGCTCCTCCCGGGACACACGCGAGATGTCCAGCCGCGCACGGGCGTGCTGATAGGTCGACGACTCTGTGAGCAGAAATCAACAAATTAGCAGGTGAACAAACTGTACCACATAAAACAGAGCACTGGATTTAACCTAAAATGTAGGTTAGAATTCAACGTTTTAGTCATGCAACTGTCTGCTGGTACGTGGAGGACTCTGAAACAGCCTGATGAGTGTGGACACACCTGGTGGAGCCGGTGTGAGTCTGGAGAGGTCCACCGTGACGTCCTTGACCGGCACATCTGCTGCCGTCTCATCCCGGAGGGTTGACATGTTTCAGCCTGGACAGAAGATTCAACCGTCGGTGGCGGTTACAGAAAGCTTTACGCCTTTTATAATTCATCTCTGAAGATAAATCTCTCAGTGAGGTTAAAAACACAATCGGCACAATGAATAAAAATACTTTACAATGAAAACTTAATCAGCAGCACTTCACTTTAAAGACGCCTCTAATAGCGCGGTGTTAAACGGACTGTTCACCATTTCAAAAGCACCAAAATTCAAACAGCCTAGTGTGTTACATGTATGCCGAACTTAAAACCGGCTAATTCCGATGTTTCCGAGTCTTCGACGATAATTACGAAGCCACATTTAACGCTACTTTCGACCGTGAACATTAAAACGTATAGAATTTAAAGGTAGTCTGGTACCGAGCGATGATTTAACAAAGCAGCGTTATCTTTGACCAATGGGACACACCATATTAACATCAGGTAAATAAATTAAAATATATATTATGCGTACGTGGATGTATTTTACTGAAAAGCTCTGAATCTATCGTGTTTTTTTTTCGCATTAGCAGCAGTAGCTAACGAGCTAGCGGAACCGTCTAATTATCAGATTGCGTGTCGCCTCAAACGCTCGTGACTCCATATTTACTTCTGACTTGTTTCCGGTCATTTTTCTGGTAACATCTGACGCATTTCTTACCTTTTACAACGACTTTGTTCAGTTTAACTCACGGTTGCTACTGAAAACATAAACGCTCATCACGTCGTTATGGTACAACAGCGCACGCGCTGTGCGAAGAGCCTTCTGGGAGTTGTATTTTTTGTTCCTCTTTTTTAGCAGTCAAAGGCTTTCCTAGCTTATATTTCCCTCTAGAATATGACACAGTATAAACCACCAGTGATTAAATGCTCTTAAAGCTGTTTCGAGTTTAATAAGAAGGACTTTTGTGTGTGAACGTGTCTGTTTCCTGCTGATTTTCATGCAGAAACCCTCTCTCCTGTCTGTCAGCTGTATCTCTGACTCTGGGCCAATTTGGGGACTTTGTCTGACCTGACTTTACATGTTAGCGTATTTATGAGCAGTGTGGCTCACTGCTGCACACACATCTGCGGGGATTTGATCGGCGTGCTGTCAGACGCATGCCTTTCATGAACTGGCGATGGATCTAATTTAGCACCCTGAGATGAGCGTCGGCAGGCCAGGATGAGCTCAGTCGGCATGTCAGTGTTCGCTGGGCCGTGACAGTCTCCCATCACTGCTGCTGCTTCTTCCAGGCATAACCTTTGAACCCTCCTCCCCGCAAACACACCTTCCCCCGTGTGTTCGGCCTGCGGCGAGCAGGCGCGGATCTGTCAGCGAGTCAGCCTGTCGTTGAAATCTATGATGCCTGCTGGCTTCTTGTTCAACAGGCCGTGCCCACGTTGGTGCAACAACTGTCAAGCACATGATCAGACGAGCATGGAGGCCCGTCTTAGCCTCCTATTGTTATATAGGCAGATTTCCCCTCAAACATCCAGCAGTCATGGCTTTTATTCAACTGGAGCCACGGGGGGGGAGGTCAAAGTCTGTTACTGTCAGGCACTGAAAGGAGAGGCCAGATCAGCCGCCTACTGTAAATCTGCTTCTTCTTTCAGCTGCTGCATTCATAGCTCCACTGCACAGCGGATCATCTGCCTCCATCTCCTCCTATCCCAGCATCCTCCTCCGTCTGAGCTCTTCTCCTCCTGCCTGGCAGCTCCATCTTCATCCTTTTTTATCAGTAATAGTCCCTGCACCCACCTCCTCTCACTGATCTGCATCGTCGTTATCATACGATCCTGTGACTGTCCCAGATGTGACACTAGATGGCAGCTGGTTAACGTGTGAGCAGCTGAGGATCCTCCACCAGTCACAGTAATGATGACGGCAGTGAGCCTCTGTGAGGACAAATCACTCGGCTAATCTGATGACACAGATGAAGTCGCAGCCTCTTTAACAACCAGCTCAGAATTTAATGGGGAGTTATGTGGTTCAGACAAAACGTGAGGGAAAGAAAGAGAGAGACCTCTGAGTGCTCAACATACAGAAGATGCATAATTATGTGTCTGAAACAGGGGTGGGCAATCTCACCTTGGGTCAACACACCTGAATCACATGATTAGTTCCTTACCAGGCCTCTGGAGAACTTCAGGACATGTTGAGGAGCTAATTTAGCCATTTAAACCAGCTGTGTTGGTTCGAGGACACATCTAAAACCTGCAGGGACACCGCCCCTCGTGGACTGAGATTGCCCACCCCTGGTCTAAAAGCACGAAGACAGGAAACAGAGCTGGGCAGTAAAACTGCTGCAGGATGACTTTGATACTGAGCAGCTTGTAGAAAAAGGTTTGGAAGAAGGTGGGACTGAAAATCTGACAGAAAAACAGTAAAAACTGAAAATAGATGCAGAAAAATGTTTCAGATTAACAACATGTTAGCTGCTGTTGGTCACCACAATTCGCATATTAATGATCAAAGAACTGAGCTCACAGTTCATTCAGTGGTGCTGGTTTCAGTTATTGTGCAGATGTTTACAAGGTTGGAGACCTGCAGTCAGCTGACACTGAAGAAGTCACCTGATGATGATGAAACTGAAAACATCCAGATGAACAGGATCAACTTTCTGGGATTTCCTGACCTGGATGACTGAGCACGCGTGAGACAGTAGTCTGGATATTATAGAGCTATTTCTTATACTCTGTGAACTTTGTAACATATAGTTTTATTTCATTTAGTTCAGTGTGTTACTGTCTGATGTAAATTATTGTTCTAATGAATAAACGGTGGTAATCCTGCAACAGTGTAAACGAACAGACGCTACAAATACTGTAAATATGAACAGAGTAATTACAGTAACTGAAAATACAGCTTTATGCTGATGATATATTTTGCTGTAAAAAGTTTGTGCAGTAACTTGTTTAAAGTAACCGACTGTGTTACCTGTGCAGAGTGCACGATCACCCTCCCCATATACTGTTCGTCATGGAGCACATCACTGACTCGCTGTCAGTGTTCCTGTTCCAGGAATGAAGGAGTAAAGCTGCTTTAGTGGCCTCGCTCTGGCCCCCGAGCCATACATTTAGCACCTCTGGTCTGAATGTCATAACTAGTAAAAACCCAGAGACTTGTTCAGAACCAAAACTTCGTCTCAGTTTAATTAGTTTTATTTCCACAGCTTCACACAAAGAAACCTGTTGTTTGATTGACTGTCATGTGATCAGCAGTTTGTTCTGGACTCGGTTTGAGGAGAAAGCAAGAGGAGCGTCTGGGATCTGACGCAAACATCGTGTCAGGAATTGAACACACCTTCTGTTTATCTTCCATTATAAGTAAAGTTATTGAGACGAACCTGACATGGTCGGGGTGTACCTTTGGAGCCATCACAGGACGTGCATGTGCAGGACTTCCTGTTTGGGAGCAGAACTGTTCTGCTTTTTGCAGAATTTGAACTATTTCTCTTGTTTTCAGTTAAAACGTCAGAGCGCAGGGAGCAGCTGGTGACGAGTCCGCAAACATGAAACCGCAGACAGCACGGCGCTCATCCTGATAACTCATCACACAGTTATGTTTTTGGTACTCAGCGTGTTTAAATATCTAAATTAGACGCCCGAGCCACATTTTCCTAATATTTACAACATCAGGGAGCAAAATAGTTTCCACGTTGTGTTTGTCCTCTCGTCAGTAAAATATCAGGAAGTTTAGTTTTTTAGTTTTCCTCAGTCCAAGCTCACTCTCGCTGACAGCTGACAGCGTTTCCTGTGGTGCTGACAGCTGCTCACTACTGGTCCGAGAGCAGCAGGAGCAGTAATCAGAGTATTTCGTTAGTAATCAGAGTAGTTGATGGAGCTGGTTGTTGGTTGGATAAAGAACACTTCATTTGCAGTGTGAATGTGCCCTCCGAGCAGAGGACATGTGACCTTGTGTGTCGGGGGTCACGCCTCGGGCGCCGCCGCCGCTCTGACAGACGTGTAAACAGGTGCGGCCGTTGTTGCAGCGACAGCTGATCTCAGTTGGCACCTGAGCCGAGCCAATTAAAGCCGAGCCAGTTGGGGCGGCCCTCTGTGACTGTACGGCAGCACGTTTGGGCCGCTGCGCCGAGGCCTCCTGACATCGTTAACGTGGGCGGAGACAGCAGCGGGAGAGGAGGAAGTGGCTCGGGAGAGACGAGGGGAGATTTATGGTAATGAGATGAGCTGCAGGGATCCAGCATTGGTCACAATCAGACGGCGAGTCCGAACATTTTTCCACCTCAGGATCAGAACAGCTGGAGACAAAAACGATACCTGTTCAGGTTAAAGGCGGAGCTCTCTTCAGCGTGTTTCCATAACATGCCGTCATGTGTTCCGAATGGTGAAGTAGGGAGAATGAAGCAGTTCCTTCCTGCTGCTGTTAGTGGTTTGGTGTGGCTATGAGAGGGAGGCTGTTGGAGCAAGCACCACCTCCACCTCCACCCACTGTGCAGAAGCAGCGGTCCAGGCTGATGGCAGCTCCTGCCTCAGGTTCCTGGGGCCTGCAGTCTCCCGCTCCGGCCCTCACACCTGCCTGCTGAGCGTGGACAGTCTCCACTGACGTCTGTAAGACCGAAGCCTCGTTAAAATAACACGAATACATCACCTCACCAATCACAGCGTTGTGTAGATGCTTTGTGGTCTGGATGGTTATTGATGCCTCAGGTGCTCGAGCCGGTTACTCCTGACCTCCTCTCTGAATCCTGCTCGACCTCTCGAAGGTCAGATTTGCAAGTTTCTCTGTGACAGCAGCTGTCAATGAGTAAGTTGGGGCCATCTTCCTGATGTACTCGTGGATGCTCGTTGTCTCATCCTGGACTGTGGTGCTGACACTCACCAGTCCCCGGCCTCCTTCTGCTTCGCGTACAGTCTCAGGGTGCTGGACTTGGGGTGAAACCCTCCATGCATGGTCAGGAGCTTCCTGGTCTTGATGTCAGTGGCTTCTATCTCCTCCTTTGGCCAAATTATTATCCCAGCAGGGTACCTGATCAGGGGCAGGGCGTAGCCCGCATCTTGTTCTTACTCTTCAGCTGACTCCTCATGACTTGGGTTAGCTCTGTGTTAAAATCATCCGAACTGAATTCACACTTTCACACTGATGCGGTCTGTCAGGGTTTTCTCCTGCGAGACTCTGGATTTCCCATGAACCGCCTGACCCCGCTGTGTGTCTGTCGGCGCCCTGCCACCCCACTGTGTCAGATTTTGGGTGTAAATCCACAGAAACCTGCAGGATGGACTCAGTAAATCCTGCCATTAAGGCTGGCTCGCCCTGCCATCTGGCTCTTGGAACATGTGACCCTCACAGTGTTTGTCTTTAATTATGCCGCCGTGACTCAGCCGACCTCGGCTAACTACATGTAATCAGCTCAGATTTGACTAATGGCAGAGTTTGATGAGCCCCAGGCTCGCTCGTCTCGACCCGGCTGTTTCTAAGCCCTCGCTGGAAGACCCCAAGTTCATTTGGACCGAAGCACAACAGCCAGTCGGGGAATGTTTTCCTTCCAAAATAAAACCGATAGCTGGAGTCAGTTTCACACCTCACTAACATAAATGTGTAGCTAGTCTTTATTAGTTCTGTCTCTACAGAAGAGAAGATGAATCATTACACACAGTTTCTTAAAGCTGCACGCTCTCTGATGTCCAGCAGGGGGCGACTGGTCTGACTCCTCAGAGAGGAGCAGGAAGCAGGTCCACAGTCACTTCCTCTTTAGATTCACCGAGCTGAGCCAGAGCACCGAACAGTCCTTCACACGCTAAGACCCTGAGACTCTC